TTACTTACCTGCTTACTATACAGCAGGGTGAAAAGCAGGTCCTGACCGAGCAGCTCTGCTTGGTGTTGGTAGCCCCTCCTTCCACTGCCTCAGACTGGAACCACCCTGCTCTGAAATATTATTTAGTTCCCATGCTAAAATGATCATGAAAGTACCTTTGAGAAAACCCTGACTTGCCCCTGCTCTGCATGGCTCCTCTGCCCTACAAAGGATTTGACAGAACAATAGTGAACACTTCAGCTGGGTTGAGCTCCATGTGAAGTTCTACCAGGGGTTCAACAGAATCAACACAGGGAACGTGAACACATGCCCATCCGCAGCCAAGCAGGGCAGTGTGGCCCGTTTAACTTCCTTAACCCACAGCTCCAAGTCTAAACCCCTCACTGGGTCCTCTCATAAGCGAAGAGTCCAAGCCCTGAGAGAGCCACAAGCCTCCTGGCCATGAGCTCCTCCTTGCCCAGCATCATGAGACAGTGTCAGGGAAGCAATTGCCTAGCAATATTTTCCCAGTTTTTCATTATTGCCATCAATCTGAAATAGCAATAGTAGGGTTTATTATTGTTCCCTTGCTTCCACCTATCAAACACCGGTGCTCCCCCCGGTCCCCCCCCTGCACACACACACCATTTGAATCATTCTAATGAAGCTGTGTGGCCAGGGAACTGCGAGGGGATCATATTGCAGTGCCACTTGCTCTATGCCATCAACACAGAATCATTTATTGCCATGCAGAAAGTTTGAGGTTTAAACCTCAGCATTCTTTGGCGGCATTAATAAGGGCCTTCTCAGTCATGGCCCCCAGTTATGGAATGAACTGTGTATCATAGCCATCCGGTGCCAACTCTAATATCATTTAGGCAGCAGGTTCAGACTGTCCTCTATGACAGAAATATTAAATTACTTTTGATAGTTTTGCTGAGATTGTAGGAGCAGGAGCTCCTCATGTCGGGTTCCAGAAGATTCTTAGGAAACTTTTGCATAGTTGATAGCTTATTTGATTACTCAAAGAATATAACTTATGGGTATTTACTATCTCTTTGTGGTAGTTCTTAGAAGCTGTTAAGAACAATGGTATAAAAGATAAACATGTTCCAACCAAAGACAAGCATTTTTATATTTAATTTATTTATGTTTGGTGATATTTGTATTTTATCTTTGTAAGCCATCCTGAGGCTTTTGCAAAGGACGGCATATAAATATCTTAAATAAATAAATAAATAAATAAATAAATATTATATTGGGTAATTATGCCAGCTGCTTAACAGATCCTATGATTTTTATTTGTGTAAGGTGTTATAGCTTTGTAAATTTGGTTTTAATTCTGACTTTTAAATTTTGCATTGTACTTATTCAAGGTTATCTGAATGTTGTGTTGCATTCTATGGTATTCCTGTGCTGTTGTAAACTGCCCAGGGTTAGTGCCCGCGATTGATAAGAGAAATATTGTTATAGTTGTTGCTGCTGCTGTTGCTGTTTATTAGGGGGCTAGGTAACATCCATCTCAAACCATAGTGTCACTGCAAGAAGTGAATTTGTAAGACCAATGGTGTTTGTCAAATAAGGTAGTTTCCCATGAGCTGAGTTTCAACACTGCCTTTTCCAAATGTGAGAAAATGGCTACAAAGAATTGTGTCCTGAAATTAGTGCCAGATGAGGAACAGTTGATCCAATAGCAACAGGCCAGGAAAAAAATCCCATTCGCTTTGTCATTCATTCAAGGAGGTTGTATCAGAAACCTGACTGTGGCTGGGCTGAGCTTTATGATGAAGCACATTAAAATCCTGTGCACACAAAAAACAGGGGCAGGAAGAAAGAACCAGTGAAGGATCCTGTGTGGTGTGGTGCAGCAAATGTTGGACTGGGATCTGGGAGATCCAGGATCTAATCCTTAAGGTCCTCACTGGGTAACTTTGGGCCAGTCACTCACTCTAAGAGGGTTGTGGTTGTGAGGACAAAATAAAGTGGAGGGAAACTATGTAAACTGTCTTGGTTCCTCAGAAGAATTAAAACAGAGGGATAGGAATGCAATATCATACTAATAATGAAAAAAGAGGGCTGCCTTAGTGTGTGTGTGTGTGTGCGCTTTAATCTGTCTAAATGGCTGAGTCCCAGATGTGAGGTGCGGGAGTTCACAGTACAGAAGCAGCAAGATTTACTTAGAGTAATGCATTCTAAGTGTAGCGGTTTCACTTGAGCAAATTTGTGACATTCCTTCCAAAGTGACTGAATAGGAAAAAGCCACACTTTGGAACGAATGAAGGATTTGGGTGACCACAGCTCTCCAAGTGTTCTGGCAGATCTGCTTACGATAGAAAGTTCTTCCAAAGTCAGGAGGGTCCTTCTCAGAGGCAATCTCCTGATTGGTTACAAATTGTTACATCCTTTCCCAAGAAATGGGTAAACATTCCTTTTAACACAGATATAATTTTGTGGGTGTGACCAGGGGAACTGCTTGCATAATATATTCATACCTTCTAGAGAACTGACTACTACAATTGCAATGCTATTCAGGAGCTTTTGTACACTGTTGCATCTTTTTGTATCACATCTTGGCATCTTGTATATTTTTATAATTGGCTTACTGATTCTATATATTATATGGTTGGGAGGAGGGATGGTTATATATGCTTTTAGAAAGGCTATGATAAACTGGCAATAATAGTGCAATTTATACACTGCACATGATAATACTTTTCATTAATTTTTGGTAGCTTATGAACTTTGCCCATGAATCTTACATATGTTTAAGGAATTACTGCATATTGCTCCCTTTCCACCAGTATCCATGGAAAATGGTAGTTCACATCGGAATGGCAATGCCATGTGACACAATTACACTTTGCTGTATTTATACACAAAATATGTTATATTATTCTAACAGCAAACTTGAGAGCCTGTTATTTTGGTCATTAAATAGGGCAACCTTTCACAACAGAGTATGGGTTTTACATACTCAGACTTCCTATGTGTTCTTGTTATGTGCTATCAAGTTGTCTCCAAGTATGTTGACCCTATGAATGAATGCCTTCCAAAATGTTCTCTCCTTAACAGCCTTGCTCAGTTCTTGTAAACTCAAAGCTGTGGTTTCCTATATGGAATCAATCCACCCCGCAGTCGGTCTTTCCTTCTGCTTTTGTCTTCTCCAGCGAGTTTTGCTTTCTCACAATGTGCCCAAATTGCAACAGCCTTAGTTGTGCCATTTTTGCTTCCAGGAAAAATCTAGTTTGCTTTGATCCAAGATCCACTTGTTCATCTGTTGGTTCAGGGTATTCTCAAAGCTCACCTCCAGCACTTTATTTCAACACATCTATTTTGATCATCACTGCCATTGCCTGTGAAATAATTTCTGCCAGGATTGCTCTCACTGCCTGTAACCCAGGAGCTGTCTTTCAGGGGTATCTTTACCCCGTTTAGAGATACCCACTCTCTTCTGATGTGATCATTACTCCTTCAGAGTATGCATTCTACTCTGGTGTCCCAGCTTTGACCATGCCACCTTGGGTGACCTGCCACGAGACCACCTAGCGAGAAAATCGGAACTTCAAATGGTATTGACACTCTAAATGCCTTTCACCACATTGAAGTGTGTATCCAAGCATTCCCTAGGTACTCCCCCCACCCCTTTCCACCACTCTCAGAAGTGCAAGTCACTCATACAAAACAAGGTAGAAGTCCAGGATTTTAGCATAATTTGACTTAATGCAGGATACTCTCTAAACTCTTTTCATGCTGTTTTTTTCCTTCATTCTGCCCTGTCTTTCATAAATATTCGTAAGGATTTGTTTTAAAGAAAAAGCTCAGGGGTGCAAGTGGGGAAACTGGAAGCCCCAGTTGGACAATGTCGGGGGGAATGGTGCCTGCTGCCAAAATGAAGCCGGAACCAGTTCTGGACATTGACCCAAACAGTCAAAGAGGAGTTTTCTCCTTTTGTTCTGGCAGTTGGCAAATGGTGAGCTTTCAAGCTAAACTGAAGATGAGTGATCTCTGCTTGCAAACATGAAGCAATGGTTTGTATAACCCCGCCGTGGCAAGATGTTCTTCTTGTCTTTTCGTCCTGACATCTGTCAGGGAGATGCACATTTTGCACTTTGACCCGAGATTTAAAGTACTCAGACAAGTCCACTCCTCTTTTCTTTTGGGAAAGTGCCTTTTAAAATAGTCGTATATACCAACCAAAACTCACATTGCCATGTTAAAATCTTCATTAAAGGGGGCTCAGAAATCCTTTTTCCCAGTAAAAAAAGAAAGTTTGCACTTTTGAGGAGAGGGACAAAAATCACAACACTTTTTGAGCCTTTGGTTAAGTTCACCTTATGACAGCTGCTAAACATTTGCGAAAATCTGTGTGGGATATTTATAAAAAGTTTGCCAACCATGGACAGTTCCTCCAAAGCCGTCCAAAGCAGTTTGAAGAGGCTTTCAGTGGTTGTCAAAACAGAGCTCATGCAAGGTGTCGATGAATCTATCTGAAAAATGCTTTAGGATGCAAATAAGCTACAGGGATCCAAAAAGAGCTATCATAAGGCGGACAAAGGAAGCCAAAGCTAGCCACTCTCAAGTGCTGCTTGGCATTTGAGGGCACTGGGCAAACTTGAGAAGAGCAAGGCGAGTCACCACTCTTGCTGAGAATCTTACTGGCAGTTGTACATTACTCCCCATGTAATCCATCATCTGGCTTCATTATAGCTGAATTAAAAATGACCCCTAAAATAGGCCATGGGTTATCAGGGTGTTTGAGTGGGGGAAAATAGCTGTATGTGTAGCAAACATTGGGCTGGAATGGTTCAAGAAGCATCCATTGCTTGCTTCATGGAGTAGTCAGGTTGTGTGAACCAGGCCAATATATGGATGTGCTTGCTTGGAAGTTTCCATTGTATTCAAAGGGGTTTAACTCTTTATACATAGCCTTGGGAAAGGGCAGTTCATGATGTTAACGATATAAGCACATTCTTTGCTATTGCATTCCAAAAGAACCCACAGTAATTTAACCATTCATCCAGTGCAGTTAATAGCAGTGTAACTTTATTGGAATATATGCACTTTTACTACTGCAGTCAATACAATACCAGCAGTTTTATTTCAGCAAAATCTGATTAGTTATCAAACTTTTTTTAAAAATCATGAAATTTAACTATTAGGGGGAAGCAGCATTTAGTGCAAAGAGACAGCATGCCAACCATTTTGGGCTCAATCTGCATGTATAGTGAAGTGCTCATAATGGATGTTCCACTCAGTTGCACGTGTAAAATTAAAAAGTACTGATTTCCAAAATTAATAACATTCACAAAAAAGTGAAATTTCATATTGTATACTACAGCAACAAGCATATATAAATAGTGATCACAATTATGTAAGCATTTTCTCAGTATATTCAAGCAGTAACGAGGGAAGGGTGTCGGGGGAGTTGTTCAGCTCCTTTTAAGCACACACATCTATGTTATAATGGCATTCAACACAAACCTATTTTTAAAAGAATATTACTATTATTTCCTTTTTACTGAGAGGATGACATGTGTTTTAGGCAGCTTTTCAAACATTGCTATTTCTGGTCATTTCATACCAGATTTAAGACTAAGCTTGCTTCTATTAGAATATGTGAAGAGGTACTACTAAAACATCCCTTTACTCCCACACAAATCATATACTATATCCTAATATCTATGGGCTGGTTCACATGATTTATTTAAGCCACTGGCCTTAGCACGAGCCAGCATTCATTTTGAATATCCAAACCACGGCTTGTCTTGTTGTTTAAAGATGATGGCAGTTGCACAAGGACTAACACACCCTTGCATATACGAGGGTTGCTTCTTCTTTGTACAACGCTGGCTACCCAGGACTGTATGACATGACAATAAGCTTGACTATTCTAAAACTGTCCAGCAGACACCATGGCTCAAACAAACCAGAACAGGCAACAGTGACTGTGCAAACCATGTTTATGTATAAAACAAAATCTAACTGGCAACATGTTCTTCCTCCAAATCTAGCAGTGTATTGGACTCCTTTCTTTCTAGTAGCTATGATTCTTAGCTAATTCAATAATTTACTCTGCTTTCTCAACTTTTTTCTTGAGAAAGCTGTTCTCTCTAGATCAATACAAGTTGTGGGAAAGTTCAGTAACACCATACCGGTTTCAATCACAAAGCAAAAGCTTAAGAAACTATCTAGTAGCTTTGTTTTTTTAGTACTGGGGGGTATTCTGTAATTTAAGAATGGGAGGATCAAAATTATTTTATGGTGATTAGGAACATGTTAAAAAAATTCTTCTACTTTTCTAAGAAAGTGGCTATCATTTCCAAGTCAAAAGCATTGCATAATCCCAGAACAACATAAGTTTATTTCAGAAAATAATATCTTTTGTAATACATCACAGTTACAAACATATATGCTGAAATCTCTTAGAAGCCAGTTCTGAAAACTGTATTATGTCTGTTTATTGTAGTCTTGATCTGATCTGTGTGTTGTATGATCAGTTTATAAGGAGAAACATGGAAGAGCTATTACCAATCTATTACCAATCTATTCAAATGCAAGTAAATTATTCAGTGTAAATGTAGAACTGCATTTTTTAAACAGAAAAAAGGGCACTTTCCACACATGTATTCTGACCTGCATAAAGTTTGGTCTTTACCACTGGGAAGTTCTAAAATTAGTACACAGAGATTCAAATGGCTTATTAGGTAGTAGCTTCAATGCAGAGACACATAATTAAGGACTTGTGAGTTATAGGCCTATCTTTCTATGTCCCTTTTGTTAGCACAACAGAAGCCTGAGGTGCACGGTGCTTGTGTGTCAAGCAGTGCTCTGCCTCACTGCATAGTTCTTTCATGGATTTTAAGAGTCAATAAAGGACTATGGTCTCCTTCCTAAATACAAATTGAATTTTCCCTGGAGAAAGAGAATTGTGCAAAATGTGCTGGGCTTTCACATTAAGGGGAGGTAGAGGAAGGAAAGGACAGCATGCTCACCTTGTGATTTCTGAGGAGTGAGCCCAAGTCAGCCCTCCAGATATGTTACGAGTGACCAGTCTGCTGTCTGGGTATTAAGAGAATTTGGTTCAACACATTTGGAGGTACATTTGGGGAGGCTTGTCTAAGTGCCGTCCTTTTTCTAGCACTGTAAGCAAACATAACAGTGAAATGCAAAGCAAATGTTTCGGGTACTGGGGCGTAATTTGATGAAAGATATTAAGCAGGCAAGAAAAAGATGGTACATTTTAATTTTCCTTGTCTCTCCACAAACTATACAATAAAGATGCATTTCTGAGCTACTTTAAGGATCTGCTTATGGCAAAGTTATAAGCAAATAATCAGTACACAAAATGATTTTACAAAAATATAATTTCACAGCATTTGCAGAAGCAGACAAGGGTGAAGAAAATACAAATCCAATCAATCTAATAGGTATTTCAACATGCATACACAAAAACATGTGGGCCAGTCACTAGTTTCATCCCATCCATAAGGCTAGACTCAACTGAGTGTATTACAGACATGCACAAAATATAAATACAAGATGCACAAAGCTCTCAGGGGCACAATCCACCGGAAACTTCTCCTGCACAAACCACACAAATGAATGTAGCATCTTCTGTGTTTTTGAACTCAATTTCCATTCATGTGGATTGGCTATTAAGGAGAACCTTCCAGCACATTGTCTCCTAAGTCACTTGCCTTAATTTTCCCTTTTGAATAACCTTTCACACTCTAGGAACATTACCACTAAAGTTAAAAGGGTATAACACCAATAAATCTTCTCATACAGGATCCAGCTTCTCAGACTTTATTTGGAGGTCTGGGGGAGCACTCCATCCATGGTTTAAAACCAAAGTTTATAGTGCCAACAGAATTTGTTTGAACTACTATTCTTCCATAATTATAATAAATAACAGGGGCCAAGTGATTTGAATGACACTTTACTAACATCTTTTACTACTTAAGTCAGTGGCATTACGCTAGCATTAAGCACATTGTAGATCTCTTTACAGATGAAAACACGAGGGATTGGATAAGGATTTAGCCATACCTATAAGCAATCCACTGAATTTAAAAGGACTTTTTAGTCATACATATATGTGCCATTGATTGCAATGGGTCTACTCTTATGTGTGAGCCAAGCCAAGATTGTTTATTTTTGTGTGTGTGCGCGCGTCCACATGCTGAAAAGTCTACAACAGTTTTCCCAACCTGGCGTCATCCAGAAACATTGCAATACAACTTCCATGTTTTATAGCCAGCACCGTCACTGGTTATTGCTGGATGGGGTGACGGAATTAGTATTTCAGCACATGTGGAGATCACCAGGTTGGAGAAGGCTGCCCTACAGATGCAGAGCAGTTCCACACAGCTGATGGATAAAAACCTAAGTTAGCCTCTTCCATCTATAACCAAGGTCTGGGCCCAATTCATAATAATTCCGATGCAGCGAGGTCACCACAATGTGATTTTCTTGCCCCATCCTTCTGGCTGTGATGAACTTCTGAAAAACTTACACATAGTTAAGAATGGGCATTTTCTTTTCATAAGGATCCACTGAACATTAATTGCTGGATTTCAGCTCATGAAGGTTAGAATAAAGATTTATCATAAGAAGATGGAAGGGCCTTCCTGTCGTGGCTTTTATAGCAGCTTGGTGATTTCCATAGGTGTTGGACTGCAATTCTTATGATAGGCATTGCAGTTCCACATAACTGACAGCCACCAGGTTGGGGAAAACTTCTTTTTAATAACTCAGTTGGCCAGAGGGTAGCCTTAAAAAGGAAAGGAAAAGAAAAAGAAGCCTGCCCTTAATTTCTCTAATTGGAAGCACATTGATCATTTAACAAAACTACACTTATACCTATATTAAGCTGATTAGTGTCTGAAGGAAGAAAAAATCTATAGGATCGCACAGAAGCACTAATGTTGTCTTTTAAAACTTGTATTCAAAGATCTAAAATAAAAACAAAAATGATCACATTCTAATGGTTCAGTGCATTCAGCAGCTACAGTTTTGCTGCTAATTCATCTAAGCTGACTTTCAAAAAATAACACCCTAGCTCATCAAAATATACATTTTTCCATTTGCTCTTAAATTAAAAATAATAATAAAAACATTTAAAGAATTCACAAATTGATAGTATGACTAAGTTCCAGGATCATCTACAGCATATAATTTAAAGAATTCAAGATGCCAAGACAAAGCACATGGCAAGTCTATGCGCTTCATGCAGCACATGTGGTAGGTGAACCTTGAGCTTCAAATGTTGGCCCTCTTCTTCCAAACAGTATAAAATACCCATCTGAAAAATAAATGGTCAAGGAACCAATAAATATTTTGCACACTGCCACAGTAACAGTAACCAGGAGAAAGAACACAAAATTTCAAAATAAAACTTAACAGAATAGAATGTAAGTTGCCATCATTTGCAAATTGGGTCTCTATTTTAATTAAATGTTCACATTAATAAATCACATACATATATTTCCAAAGCATTATTCATTACGTCATGACAGGTTGGTGGGATATTTCCTGATGTTCAACCAATTTTTATCCTCTTTGCTATCAACTACCCAATTACCATTAAGATTGTTTTTGCTGTTATGATGTAAAACAAGAAATGGGATAAAAGCAATGCATGCACACATTCCCAATAGAGGCTATTCATTAAGATGAGGGTAAGAAAGGAATTATAATCATTAAATCTGGTTTCCCATGTGACAGGACAGTAATGATGCTGCAGTAGCACAGAGAGAGCAGATTCACTATGTGGGACATCATTTTTATTTTCAATAATGCTCCCATCAATTTTGTAATTTAAAAAAATAAAAGTATTATTGCCAAGACTTCTTGCAGGTTTAAAAGAGCCTTTCAGCCTCTTTCAAATCATGCTACATGTAAGGGTCAAAGTATCCACAGCTGGATTTGTTAAAGTTACAGTCACCTCTACTGAAACACTAGGAAAGCCAATATAGCAAATAAAAAGTCAAAGAGAATCCTCCCAATAGTATTAGGATTATCCCGTCATAAGTATAATTGCTCTTTTATATAATTCATATAACAGGTTTAGGGTTAGGAGTGTGTCAGCTGAACCTGGCAGGATAATGGGTTGCAGGGAATGGCTACAGAACAAATTAACAGGAATTTCTGCTACTCTTCACAACCTTATTGTCATCCTTCCACAGTGCCTTTCAGCCCATGCCCCTAAAAACTGTAACTACAAGATTAACTGCTAGCCACAGGGGGAGGCAACAAGCAGGGGTGGGGAGCTGAAAACAGCTGCAAGAAGGGTGCTTTGTAAAGGAGTCTGCTAGTGACAAGTAACAATGAGAGGTGGTAAGTAGTAGGAAAGGGGTGCCAAAAGCAGCAGGGGGGAAAGGTGCCCTGAAAGCAGAGTGTTCTAACTCTAACATAAAGTTAAGCAGCCTTTTAAAAAGTGCCAAATATGGAGAATCATGACTAGGATATTTATCAGTATACTGAGTTAAATATTAAAGAGTTGTTCTTGTGCAACACCAAATTACCCCTAAAAGAGAAGGAAAAACCCCAACCTTGCATCTGTGAAGGCTCTGAAACTTAATTCTATTTGGTGATCTGAATGAGTGGAATTTCCCTTGCTGGCTTGCGGCCAGTGAGTCACCTGCTGACACAGGGACCAAGGCAATGTGGCACTCTGTTGCAACGGGGCCAACTCCTAGTGCTGGAGTTGGAGGGAAGACTGATGGGGAATGGGGGGGAGGTGAGGAAGACGCTGCAGCAAGCACAGGTAACGGCTGGAAGTACCGTGGATTGCTCAAGTGAACAACATACCCATTGTAGCTTATGAGTGTGATGGCTTTTAGCATGATATGCAAACAGTCCAAAGAGTGCTTATTCAAGGACATGATTTATGAACCAAGGATACAGTTCCATGTATGAGGGGACACATACAACTTCCTTGGAGAATTCCACAGGACAATATAGCCTGCTCAGCTGTTCTTCATAGAGTGTCAAGGCTTCAGTCAAATTGACACAATTTCCCTGCATGAAAGGAGGGAGAAAAATTTATAGCACCTATAGACCACTTGATAACCAAGTTCTCTACCTATAGATAATCTACAATTAATTAAAAATTAATTAAAAAATGAAACAGACAAGGAGAAACAGAGCACCTAACACAAATGAAAGTGAAGGATAGAAACACTGCAGCACAAAAACTGAAGTAAAAGCAAGCAGTAGAATAAAAGTACTAACTTCTTCAGCAGTTTCTAAGATTCCTTGTAGAATACAAAGGGCTTCAACTGCACCAGCAAGTTCATAACATAAGCAGCACAGGAGCCTTTTGGGAAGGGAATCCTACAGGAGGCAGCACCACTGAAAAAGCCCATTCTTTGTTACTCACCTCTTCTTATTTGGCAGTGGTGCCTAGACCAGGGCCACAGAAGATGACCAGAGGATATGGGGCGGTAGATATAGAGGGTAACACTCTTCCACATAATCACCCTCAAGTTATTTACAGCTTTAAATATTAAAACAAGCACTTTGAATGGACTGTGAAAATGGAGTGGGTGACAGTGCAGATCACACTATACTGACAAAACTTGAACATATTAGCAGGTCCTGGCTAACGGTCTACCTGCCTTGTTTTGAACTGACTGGAGTTCAAAAGGTAACACATTGCAGCAATCTGAATGGGCGGTTACAAGAACAGGAATGCCTGGCTGCAAAGTTTTCTTTCACCAAATAGGGTACAGTTAGTATATCAGACTGAGTGGAAGGCAAAAGCCATATGTCAATCAGACTTGGAGAGAAAAAAGTCTAGTAGCTTCTATATTTTAAAACATAATTAACATCACTTCAGTTCTATAGGCTTTGGAACTGTGAAAATGCAATTAGTGTACAAGTTATTCAGAAAGTATTTGGAGACATGATGAGAGATGTGTTGTCACAATTCATAAATTAAAAGCCAATACTCTGCACAAAGTTATTTATAATACAGCCATAAATACTTTCAATATCAACTGGGCTTATTTTGTATTAAGAGTTTGCAATATTGATGTTGTCAGCTCTAAAATTAACCTTTTTTTCTGAATGTATCACTAAATTCAGTTTGTGCTGGCTTGGTTCTCACTAGGCAAAAAGCTGGTGTGATTGCTCAGAGTTCATGCATTGCAGACTTTGAGATGGTTAAGATTTTGTTAAACTTAGAACCAAAATAAATAGTGGGGCAGGGAAAAGAATTAAATGTTAGCGAACTGAAACTTTTTTTTTAGTTATCAAAACTATTACAAAATTGCAAAGGTATGGTTATTGTAAAAGGTAAGGAAGTTAAAGGTATAAAACTTGTTTTGTAATCTATTATTATCCATAGTGGGGCAGTGGTTATTTGGTTCCACTTCCTTTTACAAAGCATATAATTTTGCCAGCATCAAATTGAATGGGACAGTGCATAAACAACCTGTGTGTGTAATTTAGACATCACAAATAGAAAACAGCACTAGGTAATTTATGGGACATCCCACTTGTATCAGCCTAGTTTAATGGCATGACCAAATCCATATAATGAGAGTAATCTGCAGTCTGCTTTTGTAGATAGTCATCCCTGGTATCCCACCTCTCATCACCATCATCATAAATGACAAGTAACCGCAGGTGACAACATGGCAAGCCAATTATAGAAATGAGTAATTAAAGTTAGTAAGAGACTGTATGCGACACCTACAGTTTGTTAAACGTGGTAGCGTTCCCTTGCCTATGACAATACCTGCCTCAGAAGTAGCCAAACATTTTGCTATGCAGGACTGTACTGCAGCCTTCTCCAACCTGGAGACCTCCAAGTTTTTTGGACTTCAATACCAGCAAAGTCAATAATTTGGAATGCTGGGAGTTGCAGTCAAAACATTTAAGTGGTAGCAGGTTGGAAAGGGATGCATTATCTAAAGACATGCTAAAAATCCACATTTTAGAATGCTTTATTTGTAGTAAGTCTAGCAGGCCTGATATATAGCAGTCTGATGTTCATACGACCACCAAAACACCAGCCAGAGAATACACACCAAGTTACAAGGGTGAAATTTATCCATTGCAAATTTATCCATTATTTATGCATTGTAACCAGGAATATAAGACATCATTCTTGGTAGTATTATCTTATATAACAAATACATTTACAGAATATGATTCATTAAAAATATTACACAGCATTCTTAACTGAATATTAAGACCTTAATTAAATCTAACTTTTTGCCTTTCTTACAAAAGAAATGCCAATTAATGAACTGTTTAATCAAAATTAAAGTTTGACAATTGTTACCTTACTTTTATACATACAGAATTATGTGTAAAGAAGTATCATTGTACAAATTCTTCAAAATGCAGAATTTACTAGATTTCTATATACAGAATTCTTGATAGCTAGATTACTGTTAAAGCTATAATCATTATTACTGTATCTCAGAATGAACTTAGTAGTCCAGTGCTAATTAGTAGGGAAGTGAAAAAGGGATTCTGAAAGTGAAAGAGATTCTGAAAAGTTGAGGGCACCCAAAATACAAAAGAAAGATCTAATAAAAACTGAGTGTGCTCACTGCTCTGCCGTTGCTGCTGAATACTGAGTATTAGCTGACAGAAGGTGGAGAAAAGAACATGGAGATCAGAAGGTGGGGCTATCTGAACCTCTAAAAGCTTCCACAACCTAATACACTCTAAATCTGTTGGACTACAGCTCCCTAATCATGCTGTCCTGGGCTGATGGGAGATGTAGTCCAGAAAGTACCAAATCAGGGGATGCTACATTAGGATCTGCCATAGGCACACTTTTCCTGATTTCCCTTTTCCAGAGTAAAGCTTAAGAATTCTAACTACTCTGAAATTAAGACATTCCAGTGTAGTGCAACGAACAGAGGAATTAGGATTGGAAAAGTGCTTCCTTTAGTCCCAATTAGATGTAGCCTTAAAATATTACAATCTCTGAAATGAGTATTTATACTGGGACTTAATTCATCCTACGAGGTGAGTTTATAAAAAGTTAAGTCCCACAGCTTCAATTTTCTATCCAAATTCTCTCACACACCATGGGAAAGCAGAAGTAAATAATTATCTTCATTCCACACTGTTCCATCTAGATTTAGAACCCCAAATCTCAACAGTTAGCAGAACACAAAACAGTGCCTCCAAACCAAACAATGGCCTGCAGACTGGAAATGTTCCAATCCCCAATAAAGGAGACACAAAAGAGTGCAGCAATGATGGTACTATTGACTGATTTCCCATAGAAGCAAAATGATGCTGAAAATGCTTTAAAAAGGATATTACCCTACATGGATCAAGAAATGTCTGATGTTCAAGCTGGATTCTGAAAGGAAGATACTCAAGATCCTATCATAAATATACACTGGCTACTGGAGCATAGCAAAGCATTTCAGAAGAAGACCATCCTATGCTTTATAGACTACATCAAAGCCTTTGTCTGTGTGAATTATGAGAAGCGATGGAAGGTTCTGAAAGAAATGGGTGTGCCTCAGCACCTGACTATCTTGATGCATAACCTGTATTGTGGACAAGAAGCTACTTGAGTAACTTTCCAATAGGGGGAATGGACATTTTATTTCCTTGATTTGACTCAGAGATCTATAAAAATCAATGGAAATATGAGAAATGGGGGGATACATTCCACATAAGAAAAATAAAACAGTTTAACAGCATTCTCTCAGTAAATGTAACAAGTTTATACAGGTTCCCAGACAGGAGCTGGCATGAAGATTTCATTACATGTGTTGGCATTTTTAGTCATCAAGCTCTATCTGGTGGTCAAAAAGTATAGTGCACACTACTAAGTTTCCTATTTTTAAAATGTGTTACGAGTAGCACAGCAAGATAGTGCTTCAGGAAAAATAATACATAAGGATCTTCAACACATTCAGCAACCCTGTTTTTGTATGTTTAGCCATATTGCAGGAAACATACTTTGGCTTTGTGTTTTTAAGAAGCAGGTTATTATTCCTGATTCCCACTGTTGTGGTCTGCCACCTGATCCAAAAACAGGACAGGGCTCTTTCCCTACAATGTTTGTTTAGAAGAGAGAACAGGGCAGTTTACCTTCATATAAAGGCTGAAAGCTTTGCCTGTAATAGCTCTTAAAATACATGATGGAGAAATTGAAAGATGTTTTGGGATGCAATTCTATCAAATACAATAAACTAGCAAACAGGGAGGGTTATAGAAATCCAGTATAGAGTGATACTCATCTTCCAGGCCTCACATTCTGCATTTTTGCTAGACATGCTTTTACACCTGTCTAACTGAAGCATCTCAAAGGATTGCAAAGGATTGCCTAGTATCCTGGATCTGCCCAGTCACTTCCTCTTCCTGACCCCTTTTATATCTTTCTAATGTTGCTTTACAAACCTCAGAGATTAGCTGGCAGTATTCTTCTCATAGAGGCAGGGAAGGGGTGACTGAGCTCCAATTCCCAGTTCCAGGCCAAAGCACAAAGCCCTTGGAGCCAGAAATTCAAACATCCTTTAGCTCCTCAGATGCTGGCCAGGGAATGTAGCATTTGCACTAACTAAATCCATGATCAGTTCAGTTATAATTTTCGGAGGCACAAGAAAATGTCACCTGAAGGCATAATTATGAAATGAACAGCTTGTTTGATATTGAGTAAAGCTGTCATTAGAAATGTTCATTTTTTTAATAAGAGAAAACCAAAAGTGTGCAGATTTGAGATGTAAGAGAACTTTTATGGCTGCATACCACCTTAACTGTTTCTGAAAATACATTTACAGTGCAATCTTTTCCATGTCTAGTTAAAACTTCAACAAGGCTTAACCCCAAATAAGTATATAAAGGATTAGAGCCTTAAGATAAAATCCTAGAAATGTTTTCTCAGAGAAAAGTGTCATTGCATTTAATAATGCTTACTCAGAGGTGTGTAAGATTACTGCCCTGAAGTATGAAACACAGTATTTGACCGTAGCCTTATCCAAAACTAACATAAAATTGATGAGCCAAGTTTATGTCAAATTCAGGCAAATATTCCACATAGAGTAGACAAACTTCAAAAAAAGGGGGGGTGTCCCCATGACTTCCTAGATTATGGAACACAGCACAGTATTGTCTAGTTCATACCCTCCAGAAGTAGAAAGTGATGGGTGATCTTAGGAGCTCCAGTTTTTATTTGAACCTTCACAGGTTCTGGAGGATACCATATTCCAACAAGCACAGTTTTTCCCTTGTTCAATTTCTGCTGTAAAAGGTGAGAACAGAACCCTAGTAATCCAATCTCATCTTGAAGACTAAGTAGCATCTCAAAAAGTTTATTTTTTTCAGGTGTCACTTTGGTGTTAATAACTGTAGAAGAATTTTCCTTGTCATACCTGTGTGAAATATTTTCCATCAGGTTTCAACACTTTCATTGAAAGGTCCAGAATCATCCGCAGAAATTCCCAAGTGGAATCTAAATTTGGAAGTATTTATCAATTAATTAGTAATTAATTAATTCAAAATAAAATAGTCAGAAATATTATCATGATAGGGACAGATACTATTTCCATTACTAATTATTTTTGTTCAGATTCTTAAGTTATTTGTGAATTGATGTTAGATAATAGATGAAGGACATAAACCTTTTAACTATTTTTTGAATATAGGGCATAATTAATTCTAGCATGGACACAATATCTGTACATGAACTGACTTAAATATGACCCAAAAGTTCCACTTCCCACATTTAGCAGGTATGTACCACCCATTGCTTGGTCCAGGCATGCCTTCTCATCCCTATTCATCCTTTCGAACCTCAAGGTGTAAGTTACTCAACTTCAAACAAAACATTTAATGAAATAGTTTGACCACAAACAAGATCTGCTGAAGCAGAGAAACATTAACCTTCTTCTGGTGATGTGGAGATTGGAACAGCTGTCAAATCATTAATTACATAATCAAACATCCTTTCTTCTTTGGTATACCTCTTCAGTACTGGAATACAATCTTCTATTAGAACCTTTAAAAACATAGTAAAATTGTGGATAACTCATTAGAGCAATTGCTTTCCAACTGGCTACTTATTAACACTGTTTGTAGCACTCAGATTAATATGACAGGAAAAATCCAGCCTTTGCACCACTTTATCATGCCCACATCAGGAACCATCAGGAAATGACATAGAAAATTTTAGAATACATATCCAGACAGATGTGTGATCTGTATATGTGTGCAGAAGTCTGTCAGTGTCTGGTGGTTCTCACATTAGACACAGACCAACTGTTGCAAGAAGTAACAGGCCAGAAGTTAAATAAGCAATGGGCTGTCAGATGCGTGGGTAGGGTGTCTGTAGCATACCTGTCCAAATCTCCTTTTTGGGGAAAAATGGTGTTCTGTGAAGGGTGAGCCATTCCACCTGCTTCCCACCGCCAGAAATCCTACACAGAAAGCTGAAGCTACAGTTTGGGAGGCACTACTTCAGGAGATAAATGCTGTCCCATCAAGGGTGAGAAATCCCACCTGCGCCCCACACCCAAGTATCTTAAAAGCAAGACTGAAGCTGCAGCTTGGGAAGCACTTTTTGGGAGAGAGATGCTTGAATGTTTAGTAGTTGTTCATTTTATTGTCTTTTAAATACTAGTTCAAATGCTGTAGTGAAGTATTATGCTGTTCTATTGCATTGCCTTTCTGTGATCTAATGCACTGTAAACAGCAACAACACTATTGGGAGGTAAAGAAATAAATGAAAATTAACTCCTTCATATGTTGAACATGAAATTTAGGTTGCCATGGATTGAACTTGGGACCTTCTGAATGGAAAGCATGTGCTCTATCACTGAAGTACAGCCCTTCCCTAGAAGACTGGGCTGAGAGACCACATCGCACTCATCAAGACTGATCATTTTAATTACTCATCTTCATCCATTTGTCTCAGACAAATGGCAACATGATCAAGGAAAATTCCAAATCTTGTGCTACACTTTTTTCTTATGGAAATGAGATATATACATTTATAATGGAAGTTTCAAAAATTTAATTCTTTTTATTCCAAAGTTGATATTATAAGTAGCTATGCCTAATTATATAGCTTACCTGCATGACTGCAAAGCTTTTAACATGTTCTATTTTAGCCAGCCTATGTTCATATTTAAGGATAATTTATACTTAGTATCATTGAGAATTAGCTAGTGTTTCCCTACTTCAGATGTTTCAATATCAGAGGCACGCAATCTTCTAAAAATAGTTTATGAATATATGAAAAACATTTTCAAAAATAATCCGTTTACTTCAAAACCCTTATTTTCCTGCTTATTCAGAAAGTTCCTCAGAATTATACTTATAAACAAGATTGATCCTTATACATAATTCATACTATTGTATCAATAATTTAACTCACAGTATTATAGATATTCAATTATGATGAATTTAAGATACCGTATTAAATTCTAGCAACAATAACATAAATCAAATAAACACTTCTACCAAACAAATATTTTCACGGACAAAAACAATACCACTCATACTACCTGCCTTCAACATTACCTGATAGCATTCTCCTTTCAGATTGTCCAAGACATCTCCACAAGTTTTGCGCATGTATTTTCGACACCCGTCGATCACCATTTGGTCAATGTTTTTGATACTAGTTAAGAATCAAATAACTCACTTTCCTATGGTTATTACTTTTGCTTCAGAATAACAGTATTTAAGATTCCAGAATAAGTAAACAATTATTTCATGCTGTTTCTAAAGAACAAGACATGAAATTGGGTATGGGAATACATTTTAGTAGATTCAAATATATTAATCAAAAAATGAGCTTTAGAGACATAAAGAACTCTAAACATCTTTTACAAGTAACATTTTTTCCACAAGCCCTTATACAATACACTGAATACTCTGTTGTAACAAAATATGCATCAAAGTTAAACTTAGCTTAAATACCTTGGTCAAAATAAGATTGTAAAACTACAACAGTAAAAAGGAAGCTCTGCTGGATGAAAGATGTCTAATATACAATACAGAATTCAAAAGAGTTCTGAGAGAAGTCAGCATAAATCTACCTAAATCATCTGCTCTCATTCCAAATGCACTGGACCAGAGAAAATACAATGAAGGTTTTTTTAGTCTTATTGAAAGGATATCTCCACCATGGTGACCATCTTTGGTTTCAATTTGACTATTTCATACAGTATGCCCCCATCACCACCTCCAAGAATGAGCACTTCTTTGTTAGTGTAGTCTTCCTTCCCGCTGCCCATTATCGCTTGTGTATATGCCAGGTCACTTTCTGCCAGATCTTAATAAGCAAGGAATTATAGATACATAAATACCCATACACTTATTATAATGAACAAACTTTCTTGTAAGCAAGCAACAAAACAGACCATCTTAAATTCTTAACAACTTTGATTATTAGGACCTGGACTAAACAGAACATGCTAATAGGCCCTTGTACCACAACTTACTCTGAAGAGTCCATACTATAGTATTTATTATTTTATTTATACCCCCCTTCCATCATGGAACTCAAGCTGACTACATGGGATTCCCAAGCAGTCTGTTATCTAAGTATTGCCCAGACCCAGATCTGGCTAGCTGCAGCTAAGTGACTGTCTCCCATGTCTTCAGACAAAGCTCCCACATGTTTCTCTCTATTCACATTTTTTTAAATATAAGAGAAGTTTTATCAGATTACTTTTATCTGCTACTTTCTCCAGTACATTGAATTTCAACATAAGTCAGAAAAAGTGTTTGAAATGATCATAATTCATGTTACAACTAAAGCATATTCACTTCATATTGCACCCAAAAGCATCCTTTTGGGTGCAATATGATTAGACTACTAAAGTTAATTATGCAACCAGCTCTTTTAAACCATAGATAACAGTAAAATTGTGACTGGGAAAAAATTAGGGGGGAAGTGCTCTATGGTACTGGTACTGCCTAACTTGTGGCACGAATACTGCCACCAAGGAATTCAAGGGATCCTCTATTTTTGCTGCATGCTTAGTACTGTAAAAATAACTGATATCCAAACATATAACAAGCCACCATACATGGTTTGGTGGTTCACAAGCAGCACAGGCCAACTCCATAGGAAATGATAATGCATTATATAAAGTCAATACTCACTAACATCCCCACTGAGGATAAGCATATTTCCAAATTGTTTAGAGTGTAAAATTTTAATATTCTGATAAGCTGACTCTTCATCGTAAATAACTTCATCTATGTCATATTCCACTAATCGTCCATCTGCTGTGGGCCAGTATCTATCAATTGCATCCCCTCTCACTATGGCTGGCAAACTGTGGAAACATTAGACAGAACAAAGAAAATACACAATTTTTAAGTATGCAAAGTTACCAAACAAGATATTACTCAAAATTATTAAATCTTACTTTCCTAGGGGCACACACATATATTTTACCTAATGTTCAAAACACCTTGCCTGCATTTTTACTGTTAAATATTAGTAATACTAAAATAATTGCCACTCCTAGATTTGTAGTTACTAAAATATATTCTGTTACTGAAGAGACACTCAAATCACAGAACTAAGAGATAATACACCAATGTTTTTTGGATGAAGTTATTTTTAGCACTCCATGATGCAGCAAAATGCCAGATAAAACTTTTATATTAAAATATCTTACTTTTTGAAAAAATATTCTCTCCAAAAGCACTGCGGAAACAAACTTCTTTATTCTTAGGCAGCTATTTGTATGCAACTGCTATTTTAAATCTTGCATACACATTGTCAACTATGTTTGCCAAAGAATGGTTGGTATCACCATTTGTTTTCAATGCCTTGCAACATCAAACAAACTATAAGGAAAGACAAAAATCACTTGTGATTTTCAGTCATTCTAAAGCAATGTACATTACAGAAATGTTTTTAGAAACACTAGAGGGCAGTATCTAACAGTATGAAAACTTGGGCAGGCCCAAATCATTTGGCTATAATTTGTCCTTAAAATATTAGAAAAGGGTGAGGGACTTGTTATTTTCATTCCTAATTTCACACTAATTTATTAGCTCAGAAATGTATGTCAAATAAGTCACTTCAGGCTACTAATCAATCTTCGTGCTGAGCAATGCCCTCAACAAAGTATATCTCTCTCTGTAATAAAGGGTGTGGGAATACAGCATGACATAATGGGTAGTATCTAAAGACTGCAACTTAGCTACACCAAGATCATCTCCTCAAAGGTATTTAATTAAATTATGTTAGTAATGGTCTGTATAGAATCATTTTTAAACAATTTTTCTCCCTCTCCTATACCACTTGAACCCAGAGTCGTCTCATGAAACTGAATGGTGAGAGGTTTAGGATAGATAAAAGTAAGTACTTTGCTGCCACAGGAAGTGGTGATGGATGCCAATCTAGTTTTAAAGGGGGATTGGACAGATTCATGGTGTGGGGGATCTATAAGTGGCTACTAGTCTTGCTATGTGTTACCTCTTTTACCAGAGGCGGTATGCCTACACACACAAGTATCTGAGGAGCTTGTGCAGGAGGTCGTCTTGCACTTATCCTGCTTGAGGAATCCTGTGGGCAACTGGTTTCCAACACTGTATATCGGGGTCTCAAACTCGCGGCCCACAGGCCAATTGCCGGGACAGGCGGGGCACAGGGGAGGGGCCCTGCAGCCTTCAAAGCGCCAGCGGCGCCCGGGCTGGCCTCCGGGAGCCACGCGGGATGAGTGGCCTACCACCACCGTGGTGGTGGAATGCTTGATGCGGCCCAGCCTCACCCAGACTGCCCCCAGGTAAGTTGAGTTTGAGACCTCTGCTGTATACGGAGTTCTGGACTAGATGAACCTTTGATCTGATCCAGCATAGCTTTTCTAAGGTTCCCATTAAGAATAAAAACTACATTTGAGTAAAAGGTTTTATAATCTCTACAGTGCATGTGAAAATTTTAGTACTTTTATTAAAAGTAGGATGCTGTTATCTATAATAATTTACCCAGTCATGTCAGTAGATCCATGCAAACTTCAGTTAGTCACATTTAAGATCTTCCATAATCCTTGACAGCCTTTATATGTTTAAGGTCTGACAAAGTTTCTTACCGTTTTATCTTTTTGATGCTTCCATGTAACATTTCTTTCATTCTTTCTTCTATCTTGTTTAAAATCTAAAAGGGGAAGGAAACATAAATCCTGAATGAAATGTAATGGGGACCTCCAAAAGTCCTAGCAATGAATCATTTGATACCACAAGTTAGGAATTTGAATGATCAATACTACAAAACTACAGAACATGGGTTGCAAGTTGATAACCTTCTTTTCTTTTACGTCCATCTTCAGTTCATTCAGGAACTTTAACCAGGAATACAGATCTTTATAAACCCAGAGGCCAAATCCAGCTCTCCAGGGATCCAAAGTCCACTCCCCACAGCTATCCATAAGACCCAACCTCCCCTTCTCCCAACCACTGATTTTTATGGTTTCCTAGATTTTGTGCAGTTTTTCCTTGTTCTAAATACTTGAAATGCCTCTCCTAAGGTTAAATTACTGCAGTGTAAAATTTCCACTAAAATATGCAGGTATTTCTCTGTTTTGGTTCTGCCCTTTTGCCAGCAGTCACTAGAGTGAGGCGGAGCGCTTCAGTATCTGATCCTTAGGCTGAAACAGAGTCTGCATCCTGGCTTCAAACTCATTTTCTTTTGTGTTCTGCTAAGAAGTAAGCAAGATTTACTGGGGAGAAAAATAAGTGTTACAGCAACTTAAAAGTAAACACATATATTGCAGTATATTCATCTGTTCTAGAACCCATTTCATTATATACATATATTGTGTTTCATGTTTTCTCAGACAAGCTAAGGAGATTGTCAGGAAACTAGCTTATCTCTTGCAAAATGACGCTGAATAAGCAAGCAAAGACAGAACACCTAACAGATCTACTTAAAAGACACAGAAAATCTTTAATATGTGTATGTCGTACTAAGACATTTTGTTTACCTATTATCTACCTACCTTTTACCCTGCCCTTCAGCAAGTTCCCAGGGAAGTTGAAAAATATTTAAATTGCACTAGAACAAATGAAAACAAAGGGCTGTCTCCAAAGATGTCATTCTGCCACCACAAAGTTTCTCACACTTCTACAAATCATGTTTTCCTCCTCCTCCAAGTGTCAATACTATACAATACTATAATTCTGTTTCTGAAAGTGTTTTTGCAACTCCTTAAAATTTAATTATGCTAAGTGTTCCTTGTGGCAGTTGTTCTGCTGACGTTTATGCATTCAGTGGCAGAAGGCACAATTACCGATGGAACAATGCCACCTACTGCACCTTTTCCATGAACATTACACTGGATACAACTCACAATCACTAAAACAAGAGCTACAGTTTACAAGCAGTCAGCAGAATTAAAGCATGAACCAAGTAAATTAAAATTGTACAGAATGTTGTAACTTCTGAAAAAATTAAAAGGTCTTTGCTTGGCACCACATTCTCTAGGGACAGCAGTCCACAATTTTGGTACCTTCACTGAGTGGGCCCTTTCTGCTTAGCCATTCAAAGACAGACCTTTTATGGATATCTTGGGGTACAAGCAGGCAGTGTAGAAACAAATGGCCCTTCAGGTATCCCAGGCCAAAAAATGAAAAAGTCAGTGCAGAAGCAGCACCTTGAAATTTCGCTGAGAAATCAGCTAAGAGTCAATGCAGTTGGTGAAACACACAGTATTATAATAAAATGCTTTCATCACTCATTCTCAACTAAATCTAATCTTTTATTCTTCTTACAGTTGAAAAACCTTCTAAGACAGTACAATTTATTATTTAACTATTATTAATTTTCTCTTAGTCTTCCCTAAGAAGCTCATAGGTTTATTTGGATTCAGTCTGCTTATTTCTGACACTGAAAATCACAATTATGCAAAGGAGAAACAGGGACTGCCAACATAATATCCCAGTGTAATTTGACATAAGGAAAAGAAGCAAGTGTTGGCCTTAGGCTTGTGGATTCCCTAGTTTCCTTTCGGCTCTTTCTGCGCTCAAAGACAAGTATAAATAAGTGTCCTATCCTGGTTTATGGCTTGGTTTCAGAACAAGGCATATCTGAAGCCAGTCTGATCTTACCTTGTTGTCACTATCCAGAGTTTAAATAATTCACAAGCCTGCAATCAGGGAACTGTTGTTGGTTTAAAAACAAAACAACACAACAATCTCTCTCTGGTATGTAAAAAGCCATAAGAGGAGCATGTGCGTCTGAAGATCAAGGAGGCATGTTTTTGTAGTGAAAAACCATGGTTTCCCTATTGATTTGAATCAAGCCTGTACAAATTCCCTAGCTGTTTTAAACCTAATTTTCTCACATATTAATTTAATAGTCACCACACCGCATAGGCTTTTTTAGTACATGGAAAAAACTAAAGAAAAATTTCAATCCAGTAAAGCTTGCAAAAACAAGAAAACCACCGTTTTCAAATCTTTTGCTTTAATCAGGTTATCTGCTTACCTGAGCTGTTTCTACTTCTCCATCCAAATCATTGTAACTCTGTACATCAACCAACACCAAGCCATGAGGATAGATTCTCAGATTGGCAAAACTAGGCAGTAAGAACAAGACAAAATTCTAAGAATTGGAACAAGCAAGACTAATTTATTAAACAAAATAATGATTTACAAAGAAAATACTTGCCCTGATTAGTTCATAATAACTAACACAACATCAATGGCTTAGGGAGCAAGAGTAAATATTGCATTTGTGAATGTTAGCAAGATGGTGTTCTAGTTAATATAAGGTTTTCCATCTATTTCATATAAATAAAAAAACAGGTCAATTTCAAGAGGAAAGTGACAGATGAAAGAAATGCCTAAGTGCTGTATTCTAAACACGAGCTCTTTAAATGAGAACAGAAGAAAGCTAAGCACATTAACAAGTGTGCTGCTGGTCCATTTGGGTCCTACCATGACCTCATGTGTTTTCGGATCAAATGTCCTATTCAATCATTTCTATTACAGTCAATAGCCAAAGCTACCCGGGTGGTTTCAAAACCTTAAAACTACACTATAAAATCCACTGGAATACATGTATATATGCAAACAGTACACACAGAGATGCACATAGATCGAAATCATTTTTAAACCTGATTAATACTATTATATACTTCCAAAGGCCTGGGAAAAGAGGAAACTCTTAACCTGGTGCTTAAAAGATAGCCATGTTCACGCTAGATAATCCTTCTTTGTTGCCATGTTCTCATGTCTTAGACAATGAATGAGAAATCTTTGGTACAGGCAGGGTATAAATGTTACAAACATCAACAAACAAACAAACAAATGTATAGCATGGGTAACGTCATGTCAAGAAGGATATTCTATCAGGTATTGCATTCCCGAGGCATGCATGGATTTACAGGTCAAAACAAGTGTCATGAATGGAGATGGCAAACATACACGCAGTCCATGCAAGCAGGCCAGAATTTGTGTTATTTGTTCAGACCATCTTTTCCCTGTTAACAATCTGGCTGCCATATTTTGCAAGTGCTGCAATTTCTGACTATCTTCAAAGTAAGCCCCACTTACTTCAGTAGGACTTAATCAAAGGTAACCATCTGTAGGTTGGAGTCTTTTCCCCTTTCAGAAGCAGGCCCATTGCTTGAGAATTCTCCTGGAACAATCTCTGTCACTTGAAAATCCGATGCCTTCAATGGCATAGAGTGCTTTCTACTAGTTTTGGCTGGTGGTCATCCCTATCTAGACAGGGGTCACCTGATTCCAGTAATCTATACTCTGGTAACTTCCAAGTTAGATTACTAAAATATACTTAATGAGGGACTGCCATTGAAGTTGTTCAGAAGGTGCAACTTTTGCAAAGTGAAGCAGCTAGATTAATAACTGGAACCAGAAGATCTGAGAACATACCTATATCAAAGATTCTCTTGTGCATTCCGAGAGTATACTTCTGTATCTCTAGAAGTATACATTCTAGAAGTAGGACCAGGGAGAGGGCCTGGACAAAGGCCATGAGCAGAGTCCAAAAACCCCCTCCCAAAAGAGGCTAATCTTACATTAACAGCTTTCTTCTGGATGACAAAAAACTTCTTGATTAGGAAGTTTTTGAGTTATTAATAGTTTTAAAATCCTGCACTGATCTGTATATTAATTACAGATAACAGACATGTTTATAATCACTGACGCCCATTGTACTTGTTTTAATGGCTGCCTTTTATCTTTTTCTATTCTGCTTTCATTAACACTGGAGAAAAACTTATTCTTGTTAGCCATCTTGAGCATTTGAAGCAAAAGTTAAGATAGAAGTATTTTAAATAAAAACATCCCTTTTTCTTTATACTACCCAAATGAAACATTCTAAAGGGCATTTTGATCACTATTGCACTGTTTTAATTTTCTGCTTGTGGTGATCAATTATTCTTATGGCAGAGATTCAAAATATTCAAATTCAAAATTCCTGTCCCAGTTTTTAATATACTTGCCCAATTCATTGAGAAATGTGCTGTAACCGTTGCAAAATTACTAGAACTCAAGCATTTTAAAAATAAAGAATTCATGTCTTCTGAAAAAGTTAGGAATGAACTCCCATTCATTAGCATGTTCAAATAATCTGACATACCTTTTAAAAACAACAACAGCCATTCATGACACTGCATGCTGCAGTTAAATTAGCAAATGTGCATAACTTTTTGCTTAGCAATGAGAGTGAATTGCTATTTCATCCACATTTATGCTGACAACATGATTAATGAAAGCTTTTAAAAGTGAGTCTTTCCTCATCTATACTTTTTGTTAAAATGAACCATAAATTAAATGGACCTGGGAAAGATGACAAATACTACTACTGCTGATTGAACTTCAGATAAAGCAAGCTTGATCTAGATACTGATGAGTTGTTCTGGTAGTGACAACAAGGCTTGATCACAATACATGATCCTTCAAACAGGTTTCAAACAGCTGCAGTTTTACAAATTAATATTAATAAGGCCTTTGTTAAATAAGAAATTGTCAGCAGCCAGAGAAGTTTGAGAATGGAGAATGTTTATATTCAAATCCTTTGGACCGTGTGTTATTATTCAGCAAGTTTTTGGCTCTGCAGTATAGAATATAACTCACCAAGGTAACCTCACCATTACAGCAAAAAAAGGCAACTTCTCACTTTATCTTTCAGTAATCCCCACTTGCCAGCTACAAATATGCCTAAGTTTTATCCAGACAGCAGCACAGAACACAGTTCAGGAAAAAGGAAACGCAACAGAATCCCACAAGTCCAGTCATGACAACCTCTTCCACAGCAGTAATTTAGGGAAGCACTGTACTTTCTATGATCTAGAGCATGGTTTAGTTATTCCTCGAATGCCATGCTTGACTGATTACTCATACTGCTGCCAAGGTGAGTAACTGTAGCATTCTAAGCCAGGAATAAATGAATACTTTTCAAATTAGCAAGACATACTAGCAGCTAAGAGTAAGAAACTGAACTGTATTTTTAATAAATAAATCTATGAAAAAAATCATATGGATCCGAGTTAATTTTGTTAGCAAGAAGCAGAATTTTCATGTTTATTTGTAGGTTTCAAGAAATCCCTTGGACAAAATATTAAATACTTTTTAATTAAATATCTTCATTTAGCTTTTTACAAGGTACATATAAGTCTGACAGTGTCTTTAACTCATTGTTAAATATTAATCGTAACACCTTTCACAAATCTAGATTCAACCTACCTGCCTTTTTTATTAACATATGTCGCTAAGTAACCATGATCTTCCAAGTTATGAAGAGTTTCTGTCATTTCCTGGCTTTGGAAGATGGGCTGTAGACCTTTAAAAATGGCATTGCAATCAGCTAAAAGGAGACAGAAAGCGATGGACAGTGAATACACAGACATTAAGGTTAACATTCCCCACCACATGATCTGTGAATAAGCAGTGCTTGTGCCAACTCTAATGCACCCTTGCCGTAATGCTGCCAAATGAGTCCTTCCTACATATTTACTACCTCCGAAGCACCCAGCCAGCCATGCTAGAAATTTAAAAAGTTATTTTGCTTTTTTTCTTTACTCATGTCTTGAATAGCGGCAATCTGTGTCAATCTGATGCTGCCTTGAGAGGGATTCAGCCAGTGAGAGCAGAAATGTGACATAAGCATCTTTATGGGCCTTATCAACCCATAAGAGTAGCAGCTGATTGGCGGAGGTCATTGCTACTCAAAATGTTGGGCCCTGAAGAGTCTGCAGTCCTAACCATGACACATTCCAAGCAGGCAAGAAAGAGGAGAGCATGGGTGAAAGCAGGCTTTGAAGCTACTGGTACAGATGGACACTGCTGAACTCATGGGGTCCCAGCAACTACCTGCCCATGCTGACCTCTGCCATTTGACTTCAAGGCAAGCACCAGCATCTTGGAAAGCTAGCTTTTGGCATACACTTTTAATCAGCATTATTTCTCAGGACAGCAAGCAAACAAAATGTCTAATACTGAAACTTTTATTTAGTACTTAAAAGTGACAATTCAACTCAAACTTTGCAACTGTATCTAGTTGCAATGAGTAAAATTGATTTTCTCAAATTATAGAAAGTTTAATACTTAGTTTCTTTCTGGTTGTCTCTATATATATTTAGATATATATAGTTCTAGATAGATTGAAAAAGGTATTTCCTATGGCTGTTCTTAAGTCATGAATGCACTTTGAAAATGCTTCTCTTCTCAAGCGGGAGAGACTTGTTGCTGAGGCCAATTGTTTTACCAGACATGTTTGCAGACATGTGCAATCTGGGTCAGGTAATTTGTTTCAAAGAGAAGTAAACATATAAATGAATACCTTTTGATATGACTTAAAACTTTCTCCCTTTACTTTATTAGGGTAAACCCTAAATATATGGCATTGATTAAAAAGTATAAGAAATATACAAAACATAAGTCTTCATACAAAGCATAAGATTACCTTTTAAGAATGCTTGATGGGAAAGTTATGTTTAACAGTACACATCAAAAACCCAGAAAGGTTGGTACTAGCCTGATTTGAAGTTCTAGGGAGAGCCAGAGGGTGGACACTAGGATGCTAAAAGTCCTATTCAAACTTAATGGACTGGGAATCAGAAATCTTGCATGTTATCAAGTTTGCTTTGCAAGTAGCTTTGCAAGCCAAATCACCAAGACTATTGTTTTTAGTTGTCTAACTGAATTTAATATAAACACATAACATTCATTTTCATGCCCTGCATCACATAGAGGTGTATTAGGATTGCTGTGGATTTCTAACATTTGCAGGTTCTGACAAACATTTGTCTACAAAGAACACAGAAAAGTGTCGCATGCCAAATCAGAGCATCAGTCGGTCTAGCTCTGTACTGTCCACACTGAATGGTACTGACTGATGTTTTTGAGATACTAAGCATGGCCATCTCTAAATCTACCGTATATACTGTACTTTACAGAAAATATTTATTCTTGGTCCCTCCTTCAATCATTTGGGGTAGGGGTATATCTTCAGCCCGATGGGAACAATAAGCAGTTGGCAAAGAGTTGCAAATTATGCTTGCGTTGTCTACTGATCCAAAATAAAATGTTCCTTTGAAGCCATATTCTATGCATCTTCTAATATGCATCTTGAGACACATTTTCTTGTTTTGCCTCTGGAAGCAAAACATCTTGGGCTGGCCTACCAAAAACTGAACTTCTTGTTGTATTCTACAACTGAGCTTCAGCCATTTCTCATACACATGTAATACATAAAACAGTCCTGAGAGAGCTGCTTATTTTATAAGCAAAAACCAAATAACTAAAACTCTTGCTTCTGATCAAACAAATCCACTGTTGCTGTTACTGTACTGTAATGCTGCACACAGCTACGCTGTTTAAATCCCACTGACTTCAATGTGAGCAGCTAGCGTGCAGGTACTTTGTATTACAACAGTGGTATTTCTGTTTCACAGACTGAGAGAGATACTGTATATAAATGTTTGTGGATTATCTATATAAATCATGATAATAAAATGATACAAAGCAGCTTCCCTGTACTCCCCTTTGGATCTTTTGGCTTGCATATCTCATCACCCTGGACCATTGGTCATAGGGGCTGGGGCCAGTAGTTGTAATCCAGAACAACTGGAACAACCTAGGTTGGGGAAAGGTAATGTAAAACAATAATCCAAGCCTCAAATATGGGTGATATGGGTAAATAAACAAATATAAAAGAGAAAGATTTGTTTTTTAAAAAAATCTGATTGCAATTATACATGAGTAAGCTAGGAAGCTAATGAATAAAAAGTACAAGTTAACTGGTAAATATTAACTCTCACTCAGATTATATCAGACCATTACATTTACAAAACTAAGTGAGCCTTTACTTTTCCAATGGTCTTACTCATTAAATGACCCACATGTCAGGGTGACCTACATTTAACGTTCAGGTTGAAGACTTTTGCATCCCTGTTTGCCTGACTGTACCATGTTTCCCTGAAAATAAGATCTAACTGAAAAATAAGTCCTAGCATGATTTTTTAGGATGCTTGTAATATAAGCACTACCCCAAAAATAAGCCCCAGTTAAGATCGTCAGTCAGACGGATGGTAGTACATCTGTTGCAACACACAACAGACATACTGAATTATAAAATAATAATGTTAATATATAAATATAAATATACAATATTATTGACATTAATACTTAAAATAAATGATAATATACATTATAATTACGTATTTGTAAATACCGAAGCGGGTGTCTTTGGATGAGAGGTAAATGCCTATGTAAACAGATGGACGCAAGACTTCTTGCCGAATGACCAATCAGAGTACAGACACAACACACGAATAAAGTCAATACTCCGTGTGTTGTAACAGACGTACTTAATGCATGGATGCAAAATGCAAGATGGGTGCAAAAAGGAAGAGCTATTCCGTTGAGTACAAGAAAGGAATCATGGAGGACTCTTGGGGAAAGAACCTTATGGCTTTTGTAAGAAAAATGTTTTATAGAGGACATAGCATGGGACTAAAAACAAGGGGGAGACACATTCAAATCCAACCAAACATAAAGGCAGTAAAAACGTTAACTTCTCTTAGCCCGTGTTACTAATAAAGGTTATTGTGGGGATGAAAGGAAGGCACCAAGTACATATTACTCTAAGATCTTTGTGCAAAATATACAAAACAGAGGCAGGATGGTGTAAGAATGAGAGCACTGGGCTATGCTCGGGTGATCCAGGCTCAGCTTCATAAAGACCACTGACCAAAGCAGGCAAGCTTTCCCAAGCTCCTTCCAAGAGGAGGAAAGGCAAGGTAAAAATGTGATAGGTAAATAACTTTCTGGTTTACAGTTACACTGGTATTTTGTTTTGAGGAAAGAGTATTACTTTCTTACATTCAGCAAGTTACCATACAAAAATTTAAAAATAGCCAGTAAAAGAAGGGCTTTAAATATTGGGAATTATGTAAGAATCACTCTAACAGTGATCAGTCTACAAGGATTAATGTTCTAAAGTTTTGAAAACTATTGACTGAGAAGAGCAGTCTGTACTCATCTTCCTTTATGCTAAACCCAGAGGTACACAGGTAACTGCTAGGCAATCTTGTCTGCCCTTGTGATACAGTACTACTCCCTAGCAGTGTTCCTTCCTAGTCTCTAGGGCTTCATCCCACCTGGCTCATTTCTTCTTCTTTTGGAAGGTTTCTCAGCCCAGCAGCCCATAAAAGGCTTCAGGCTGTGCTGAAGAGAGGACGGCTAGACAAAGGGTTACATGCTGTATAACTGAAGAATACTTAGGGCAACGATGTGAGCATGTTACGATCTTTGCAGGCTCAGGCAACATGACTTACAAAAGTCTCATTTCAACATTACTATCATAAACCCTTCTCAAAAAATACTGCAGTATAAGAAACATTCATATAAGAAAAGCTAGCAGTTTAGTCATATGTTGATTCATTAATTATAAAACTACTGCTCTCCCCCACAGCAAAGTTAAATCTTCACAATGTTTGACTCACAAACATTTTCCCTCAACATCAGAAGTGGTATGTTTTCTAGTTCCTGTACTGAACAAATTCCTTGCGTTCCCTTGACAGACCTATTTGATTGCTTACTCATTTTTGCCCTCAGTGAAATTAATAATAAAACCACTCTGTTTCTTTTTTGAAAGAAGAAGCACTTGTCATGTGCTATAATGAGCCACTGGAAATTCCTTAAGCAAAGATTGATTGTCACATGGAAGAAAATCTAGAAAAACTACACTTAAAAACTATGCCCATCTGTAGTTTATTGTCTGATAGAAAAAGAAAACATTCACATTCTCAAGGGAACAAACTTACTTTGATAGCACTAACATAAGGGTGTTTCCCCAACAGATTATCTCCAAATTTCCCATACAAGCAAAGGAGAAGGCTGGAATAAACCTCCAGGAAGCCATTCTCTGAAATGGTGTGCACTTTAATGCATTTTTCCTCTAAAGCTGGCCTATTGTATTTCAGTATCAATATGAACTTATTCAGTACAGATATTGTCATCACATGGAACTAAAATACACAATGAAGCATTGCATCAAAACTCTGAATAACCACCTAGATTAAATTTATCTAATCAAGAGGATTACTAAGGTAAAATTTAACAGGTCAAGCATCTATAGGTAGCATTCTCATTCCCAAGGAGGGTCTTTTATATGCATACAGCAAGATACCCATAACACAAATTACACAGCATTCCCCAGTCCCTTCTGAAAGAACAGACTCACAATCAATTCAGGTAGTAAACATTATAGTAATTGGCCAAATTCCAGATAGAAGAGGTGCCTATTTGTTGCTTACGTCACAAATGAACTGCTTTGTGAAGAAAGGAGCTGACATTAACGTT